CTGAACTAATCCCACTGATGCTACGCTACTCCTATAAAGGAATGAATGCCGCCACAACAAATGCAACGGCAAGTCATTGGTTAGTACTGCTAGCAATCAGTACGAGTGACGATGAATCAATTGAATTTGATTTGGTTATTTTTGTTAATTTATAATATTATAAATTTAAAAAATTTAATTTAAATTTGAATTGATTTTTTAAAAATATTATATTAATTCAAATTTAATTTTATTGGTTTGATTTGTTCGAAATATCATTTTTTAAAATTAATTTTCTTTTTTTATTATTTTTTATTATTTTATATATTTAAATTGTTTAAATATAAAATAATTATTTTTATTTTATACAAATTTAAAAATATATAATTTAATTTGATTTAAATATTTTTTATTTTTTCACTTTTCGATTAAAAAACCGAATTTTACCAAATTAAAATATAAAGTATTCAAACTTATACATAATCGATTTTTTTTTGTTTTTTTTCTTGAGCAGTCACCTTTGCCATATACCAAAAAAAAAGTCTACAAATATTCAAATTTATGGCTAGAAATTAGAGCCTAAACCCCCCATCGTTACTGAATTTGGGACCTTGATTTCTTCTTCAACTCCAGCTTGCCCTCGCTTTGAGTTTGATACACAGCCAAATAAGCAATATAAGACGACCACTTTGTGAAAAGATGAGAGAGTGGAAAGAAGAGCAGCTAGGTAACGGATATGGAGTCAAATCAGAAAGCGGTACTTATAAAAAGTAAATTTCAGCTAATCTTTCCAAATCGTGAGCCCCCACCATTCCTCCACATAGTTGTCTGTTGGTCCTGCAGCAACCATGCATAAATTGGCAGCTCCTCCAGCTTCCAGCAGAATTATATCATGAAACCAATGAGCTATATCTCTCAGCTCTTAGCTAAAGGCAGTAAGTTGGAGGGTAAACTGTCTTCTTCAGAAGCATACATAAGTGGCAATGCATGTGGTCTCAGAAAAGGCAACATTAGGCTATTGGCAAATGGTCCACAGTCCAGCTATCGAACTTGATGGGACACGGCAGTATGAAACACAGGCAACTATTAGTTGATCCCTGGCATCTCTTCCAGTCTAAACGCATTTGAGACATTGGAATTTCCCTCACATTTTCATGAGAGACTAAATTCAGCACAAGATTACAGAGAGAAATACTGCATTTTTTTTTCCTTTTTTTGTGGTTGTCATGTCTTATGGGCCACCATATTCTTTTTATTACTGTATTATTTCTTTTCCTTCTTCTTTCTTTCTCATTTTTTCCCTCTCAATTTCATCCTTTAAAAGGCAGAGGACAACAACATTTTACTTCTAAATATCAAATCTATTATATATTATCTTTTAAAGATAATTATATAACTATATAAATTATAAGCCGCAGTTAATAAAAAAAAAAGAGATTTCAAAGTTTCTTTTTTAGTGTATATTGAGATATAAAGCCTATTGGCTGGAGTGCATGGCAATCAATAAAATAATTAAGTATTTTAAATGAAAATTTTTCTTTTTTTTTTTTGAAAAAAAAATTAAAGTGACATTGAAATGTGGATAACTAAATCAAGATTTATGATAGTACGGAAGCAAATAAATAATAAGAATAATTATAAAGCTTGGTACGCTATTAAATATAGCATGTGAAGCCAAAGCAATTAGCACAAAATTCTTAATATACACCGTTATTATTTATTGATGAATTACTTATGCCCCTCCAAGTATCTATTAGAATTTAGGAAGGTTCAAGTACTGCATAATATGACATATATATTTAGGTAGATTTTTGTAATTATCATGGGGTTTTCTAAAGATATATGTGTAGATGTGTCAAATAAATTAGGCAACTCGTGGTACGATCTTGTTCGGTATAGTATGTGTCAATACGACATGGCACGTAATTTCAATTTACTTATTAGAATTTAGATATATATTTGTTGGATTTTTTTATTAATTTAAAATTTTAAGACAATCGCTATCACTTAATTTAACATTTATGATAAATTGTGTTAAAGCTTGGATTTTTTAGTAAATCCCAGCATTGTCATGTAATTTTTTTTTGAAATTATAATAATTTGAATCTTGTTTATTAAAATTAAAAATCCAATACTTTACATATAGATCATACTATTGTCAACCATTGCCATGTAAGATTCATCAACATGTATCGGCAACTAACTTAATTAACGGCATAGATATTTACTATTTGAACTTATGATGAAATTTGTATTTCATTATACTTACCAAATTAAAGATTTTTAAAATTCAAGTATCATATTAAATATTTTATTATAATTTAAAAAATATTTGTGACATTAACCCAAAAAAAATTCTCTCATCTGTTCAAAAGAAATATCTCCAATTCTAATTAATTTCTTCCATTTTCAATAATTTTTTAGTAAAAATTAACTATATTTTTAGTCATCTCACTAATGTATGTTATAACCTATCTAATAATAATAATATAATTAAGAATTAACAACAAAAGAGTAACGTTTTTTAACCATAAAATCTCTCCCGTTTCCTCTCAACTTGTCTATAAAAAAGTAACATTTTATTTACCATACCCATATTATTCCTACCAAATGTTTTGAATTTTTCTTTTTTTTTTTTATTACAAAATGCTTAAGCACGATCTTTTAGGGAAATTTTTTTTTTTGTTTCAAGGTGAGACAAAACCTTATTACAAGGAGGGAAAGGGGAGCTTTGGTTCGAAACCAAGCCTTTATATCTTCTTAAAGGCTTCTGTGATCACTAGGCCATGAAGCAGAAGACAGATTTTTTGGGAAATTTTGATTAGATCCAATCAACAAACTAGAAAAAGCCACAGTTTCTGAAATTTAAACAAGAAAAAAAAATGTAAAGACTAAAGAGAAGGAAATTAAACTAAAGCAATTTGATCCTTTCAAGAACAAAAACACCTTTTAACTTAATTCCGCACCCAACCAAAACTTTTGATCTCGTTTGCAGCCATAGATCAGAGAAAACATTTCTAAAATAAAGCTGCAACCACAAATCTCTTGGAAGTTGAAAAAAAAAAGATAGCCCATCTTTCACTTTAAAGCATAATCTCAACTGTATTATGTGCAACCTGCTGCTTCCTCTAATGTCACATTGATCATTACCCATCACATATTTATTTTTTTGATATTTTAAGTTATAAAATATTGAACAATGATTATTTAAATTAAAAGTACAATAGTTTACTAACAGAATATATGACTGTGGTGATTAAAGCTATAAATATAAAATTGACATTGAATCCAGCAAAAAACTATTATTTTCTTGGATTTTTGGTACAAAGTATCCGATTTATTTGTATTTTTTATAACATACTATGTTGAGTTTCAAAAGGAACATTCTAGTAATTAAAATTAAAATTGTAAGTTGAATGACTCAAACTCAAATTATGAAAAAAAAAATGAAATTTATGGAATAAAAGGAATTACATCGTATATATCTTTAATATATCTAACGTACAATGTAATTAATATATGGTACAATGTAAATACATTGGTAAAAAAATAGTGTAAAAAATGCATGTAAGTTGTGAATAGTTAGTATGTAGATGGAGAAAAATTACTAAGCAATTAAAAGCAATGTTGAAATTAAATATTTTTACCTTGGTTATTCTACCAGCAGCAATAATGATCATGTAAAAGCAAAGTTCTAACCTGCCAAGAAGTACGCAAAGGAAAGGAAAAACCGAAAAGGGGCTTGCTTCTTATTGATTTTGTTCAAATGAATGAAAGATAGGACCAGTAGAGAGAGCCTTAAAGGAGTTCCAACTAATTAAAATGATTTAGCTAGATTTGCCACCAGAAAGCCTACCCTGCCTGCCCGCCTGCCTGCCTGCTTTCCATTCAGTAGTATCATCATTGAATATTTACCTCAGTTTGGCAAAACATTTTCAGGTAAAAAAGATAGTGAATCCATTGCCATTTACCAGCCTCCATGTTCATGGGAATAATACCAATATATTTTTCTCAGGCTTTTTACATTTAGGGTTTCAGAATAAACCAAATTTCTCAGTAACCCCATGCAAAATGTCTTCTTTTTCAGAGATCAGTTCTGGGTTTGTGTGGATTGCTGTTCCAAGTTTGAACTTGGTTCCTGTGCTGGAACAGTTGATCCAAATCATGAAGAACTGAAATTTCAATGGTTGAATTTTGACACCCGAATTTTTTTTTCTTTTATATATCACAATTTTGGACGTGTGCACCTCAGAAATGTGCTCACCAAGGAGCAGGACAATGTAGCAATAATGAGAAAAAAATGGTTAGTAAAATGAGACAATATATTTTTCACTATGAACTTGATAAATTGTGCAGAGGCAGAACTGATCAAATAGCACTCTGAAAGTCAAGGCAATAGGATTTGACAATAATTAAAGGGAATTTTGATTATCCAAAAAAAAAATTTGTTCACATGTATCAGATAATTCCAAGGATTAGTCCAAACTAGTAGAATATAGTTCTGTAAAAAAAAAATCTTAATCCAAATTTGTTGGCAAACCAAGGGAAAGGGGGCCAATAATTAATCAAAGATGTTGTGGAAATCCCTTTGAAGGTTTAACCACAACCAAAAGTCCAAACCCTAATGAAAGGGCCAACAAAGGGCGGAGGGGAAGGCAAACTTGGGGAATCCCAAAGTAACCCAGCAAAGGTGCAGAACAAAGGCAATGGCCAAAGGCAAAATGAAATGATTACTTGAATGTGATGGGTCCCATCTGATAATCTTTCCTTTCTAAGTCTCTCAATTTTTTGACTTGGGATCGGGACCCACCTCGGCCACCATTGTCTTTATGGATTGAATGATAAAAAGAGCACCTCATGTGGAGTCTGAACCAAAGGGGCGGTCCAACCACAATAAAAAAGGAGCCTCAGATTCACAAAAAATAAAAAAAAAAACAACAAAATTCCAGATTTTCATTTTTTTTCTTATTTCTTTTCAAAATAAGAATTTCTCCAAGACATCAACAAAGCCATTTCTTTTTTCTAAAAAATTTTGCTTTTTAAAGCTCACCCATATAATTCCCACTCATTATCTTTGTTGCTTAAAGGTTGCCCTCTTCCCTTATCCCCTCTCTCTCTCTCTCTCTCTCTGCCTCTCCCTCAAGAACACATCAATTCTCAAAGGAATTCCAGGCAAACACCCCCCAAAAGAGATTTTGATAAAAGAAAGCAAAGCCAAAAAGACACCCTCTCCTCTAAACATTTAGTCTACACACTCACATAAAGAAAAGAGATCAAAAGACCCACCGAAAGATTGAATTAAAAACACACCCCATCAGTCATCACCACCACAAATAGTCTCTCATAAAGAAGTAAAAGAAAGAAGGAAAGCCATTAGAGAAACAACCTACTACTTTCATTCGATCATGGAAGGTGGAGGTAGTGATGATCATCAACTTCACCACCACCACCACCACCATCTCCATCATCACCATCAACAGCACCACCGCCCTAATTTCCCATTCCAGTTACTCGAGAAGAAAGAAGAGGATAACCAGCCTTGTTCCTCCTCCTCCTCTCCTCCTTTCCCTTCTCTTCCAGCTTCTTCCTCTGCCGATCAACCCAATACAACTCGTTCCATTGCAAGCCTCCAAATCTCCCCGGAACCTTCCAAAAAACCACCCCCTAAACGTACTTCCACAAAAGACCGACACACCAAGGTCGATGGACGTGGTCGTAGAATCCGCATGCCCGCTCTTTGTGCAGCTAGGGTTTTTCAACTCACTCGCGAACTAGGCCACAAATCCGATGGCGAAACAATAGAGTGGCTACTCCAACAAGCTGAACCAGCTGTGATCGCGGCCACGGGCACCGGCACTATCCCAGCAAACTTCACTTCCCTCAACATCTCACTACGTAGCTCAGGCTCAAGCATGTCAGTTCCCTCTCAGTTACGATCCTCAGGTTTCAACTCCAACTTCTCTATGCAGCAGCGTAGAAGCTTGTTCCCTGGAATTGGACTAGAAACAAACCCAACGTTCCTTAACTTCCACTCGAGTAGCAACTTGAATTCCATGTTCCAAGCTAAGCAAGAGTTGCGTGACAATAGTACTTCGTTGGAAATATCAGACACTGAAGAAGGTACTCTAGGAAGGAAAAGAAGACCCGAACAAGATTTATCTGTACAGCATCAAATGGGGAGTTACTTATTGCAGTCAAGCACAGGGGAAATTCCAGCAAGTCACGGTCAGATTCCAGCTAATTTTTGGATGGTAACTAATTCTAATAATCAAGTTATGAGTGGTGATCCGATATGGACATTTCCATCAGTTAATAACAGTGCTTTGTATAGGGGCACTATGTCCAGTGGGTTGCATTTCATGAATTTTCCAACTCCAATGGCCTTATTGCCAGGCCAACAATTGGGTTCAAGCAGTGTTACTAGTGGTAGCGGTGGTGGAGGTGGCAGTGGTGGAAGTAGTGGCATAAGTGAAGGACATTTAAATATGTTAACCGGATTGAATCCTTATCGGCAAGTCTCCGGGAGCGGCGTATCAGAATCACAAGCTAGCGGATCCCATTCACAGCATGGCGGTGGTGGAGGTGGCGGCGGCGATGACCGACATGATACAACTAGTCATCACTCATAGAGATGATCATCACCATGCATCATCTTTGCTTCTTTTGATCAGTTGTGTAGTTTGATGTGTAACGCACGTGAGGTTTGATTACTCTTTTGAAAAAAAAACCGAGTTTTTATTATTCTAAAAAAAAGAAGAAATTATTTTTTTGGTGTGATTAATATGGGTTCTTTTAGGGTTTGAGAGAGACTAAGAGAAGAGACAGAGAGGAGAAGACACTATTTTTAACATTGGTATTGACTGGTTTTGGCTGAAAAAAAGTCTCAATTTTTTGGGATTTTTTTATATTTATTTTATTACACTGTTAATTTTATTTCATCATTTGTTTGTGCAATTTTCTCTAGGAAGAGGCCAAAAATGCATTGCTTATGCAATTTTTATGCATTGTGTTGAAGAGGGAAAAGAAAATTTGACTCATATTAAATGCAATGCAAGCCATATGGTAAGTCCTAACCAGCAATCGAATTTTCTTTTTTCCTTTCTCTCACTGTCTCTCTCTTTGAGGTAATACAAAGGCCAAAAAGTTTGTGTAGCAGTAGTATATAGACAATGAAAGAGATGAAACAGTTTTTACTGCCCTTTGTAGCAGAATTAAAAATTTTACAACTTTCATTTTCCTTTCCTTCTCTGCCACGAATCCGAAGATTTTACTGCATCAATGATTAAGATTTTTCAGAGAAAGGGTGAGACGGGGAGGGGAGGGAGGGTAATAAGGTGTGGGGGCCAGACCCTTATCAGTTCCAGGTGTTGGTTCAGGTGGTGGGTTCCAGCTGCTGCTCATTGCCCAAACCAATGTACATTGTCACTGACAAACAGGTGGATCATTCCTCCTCTCTTTTTTTATATAACAGAGAAAAAATTAAAAATAAAAAAGGAAAGTGAGAGAGAGTTTTTTTGCTGGCTCCACATATACGGAGACCAGTGGTGGGTGTTAATGACCCTACTTTGGGACAAACGAAAATGGGTCCCATAAAAAAACTCATTAATCTGGACCGTTCATTTTTTTTTCTTTTTTTTTTTTAAATGTTATGTGCCATGCCCTTTTTGGTGGGCAACATTGAATGATTGGGTCTGATGAGCAGTAGTAGTTTTTTTTTTTAAGATAACAATGTGGAATCTGGAGCTTTGAGTTTCTTTTCTTTCAGATCTCTCTTCTTTCAATTCCAAGTTGTTACTGTCTTAAAAAATGAGCTTTCTTTCCCGGAGTATATACAATACAATCTAACACTGTCTTCAGTATTTAAAAAAAAAAAAAAACTTCTTCAATTCTTTTCCTTGGAAAAAAAAAAAAAAACTTTAATGTGTTTATAAACACCGGATTGTTCAAGTTATTGTTACTTGTTAAATTATTTCCTAGCCATATTTGCTTTTTCTTAGGTTTTTTACGTTTTTTTTCTTATGACAGTAACGAACATCAATCCTTTTGTGTGTTAAAGTCGTGATATGATGTGTGGTGAGAGTGAGTGACATTCGAGAGCATTCAGATTATGAAAAGATGGGGCACTTCTCTTTCTTAAATTCTTCATATATACATACTATTTATATGGCCGACACCCCATCATACAATATGTTTTATATTAATCTCATGATCATCTCAAAATCCATTTTTTTTAAAATAAAAAAAATCATATGGAAAAAGGAGATAAAAATACTGTAAATTTCTTTTTTATCAAACTTAAATTAACAATTAAAACATTAAATTTTAGATAAAATTTAAATTCAAATAACAAAACAAATTTATATGAAATTTTTTAGTAAAATTTATGAAATTTTATATTAAAAATAATTCAATGAAAACGATAATAAAAAATTTAATATGATAAATTGAAAAAAATTAATGAAGAAATTAATAATATATAAAAAATATAATTTATAATTTAAATTTGATTAATACTTGTTCAATATAAAAATTTTATCAATTTTTTAATAAAAATAACTATCTAAAATATATATATATATATATAATAAATTTTTTAAATTTTGGACACTTAATTTATTTAATAATACTTTTTAATCTATGAATTTAATTTTTTATTTAAATTTTTATTTAATCATTTTTAATAAAAATTTTCACAAATTTTATTTAAAAATTTCTCAATATTTCGTCTCCCACAAATATGGAATTTTTACTTTCCAAATTACTTCAAATCAATTTTGAGATGTTATATATATATATATATATATGTAACATAAGATTATATGGTACTATCAATTATTGAAGAAGATATAAGTTTTTTTTTAAATATCTTTTTTATTTGTGTCTTGTTGAGCTGAATAAAGCCAAATATCTACTACACATGGTTTTTTTTTTTAATTGATTTTGTCGTGATGTATTAATGCATAACCTCAACAAACTCAAATCCAAAATTAATAAAGCCACTGCTCTAATCAAATCATTACTCCTTGTGTCATTACGGGGAAGAAAAAGAAAGGAAAAGATAAAGAAAGATTTAACATATTATATATTTATTTATATTTATCAAATGTACAAGCTGGTTGAGAGAGAGAAAAAGATGAAAGGGAAGGAAAGCATACAGGTCCAAATGCCAATAATCTCTGTTATTTCAATGATTGCATGCAATAGAAATAAATAATCAAGATTACATCACTTCATAAAGTCATCCAAATAAAACTTTTATATATGCACATACTCCTATTTGTTAAAAAAAAAAAAAATTAATCTCCTGAATTTGCATGTATAGAGAGATGTTAAAAGGTTGAGATCTTGGTTTAGTTGTAAAAAGAAAGAGCAATTTTGAAATTTTAAAATTTAAAATTTAAAATTTATGAGTTTAATTTAGTTTTATATTAGATTTATTTAATTATATATTGTTTTATTGATTAATTTATTCATTTGATTTTATTAATTTATTAAAATTTTAGTGTAATTAATATTTATATATGATTATAACTTTTTTTGTACTAATAATTTCTTGGACGATTTTAAAAATATATTCCCTGAGTGTGCTCTCACTATGATTGAACAATTAATTGGTCAACGATTTATCCACAAGAAAAATAAAATAAAATGCCACAGAAAACCAGTTTACATTTCTTTATATCTAAATGGTGCATGGCTGCATGGTAATGAAATGGGCTAAGAGGTTAGCATTTAAATGGTTGATTCCAATTTAATACAAGCACATGTTCCGGCATTTATGGACCAATGGTTTCATGTTTTGGTGTAAAAAATTAAACCATCATCGAGTAATGGAAGCGGTCTGGTTCGTACACAATTGGTGCACATGGACTTGAAAGAAAAAAACCTGGCCCCTCGCCCCACACCCAAATCTCTTGTATCACAGAAGTGGCATGATTTGACCATCTCAACCATGTATCCACCCCCCATCTCTTCCCCGCTCGAAGTTGTTCAAACAAGTCGGTAAGGATTTTGGCTTTGGCGATTGCAATTACTTTTCAGTGTTGTGGCTGTTAACAATCAGCATGTTCTTTTAATTTTGGTCCAGGAAATCCCTTAGTGCCAGTTTTTGAATGCCTTATTTGGGCCCAGGAGATCTCTTAATCCTTCCATGATTTGATGATGATGCTGAACCTTGTGCATACGTTGCTGGTTAGAGTTCCAACTACCGCCAATTTAGCCTGCAGCTGGTTGGTAGTTAGCACATAGAAGCAAATTTTGTCAAGACCCCACCAACAAAATTAATCAACCCAACTTAATTGTTGTGTGATTTGGGTTTTTTTTTTTTTTTTTTTCCTTTTTGTTTGAGTTCATCAAAAATTAAATTTGTATTACAAAAATAGCATTATGCTTGGTAAAAAAAATGGAAAAAGATAAAAATAAAAAATTTGTTAATTTAATAATTAAAATTTATAATCATTTTCTTACTTCGTAACTTAATTATTAAATAAAAAAATTTTCATTCTCACCCTTTTTTATTTTTCTTGCAAAACTTAAAAGTTTAGTACTCTATTAACATATCATGCATTGTTTATTAGGACTTTTTTTTTTCTTTTCTTTTGGGCCCTCATATTTCATGTTATTTTTGCAGAACTTTTTTAGAAAATTAAAAAAGATTTTAAGACATAAATTTGAAGAGAAAGAAAAGAAATTTAAAGGGATATAATTCAATCTGACAGCATTCAAAAACTCAAGCAAGAGCTAGCACCTTTAATTCATCTGCTCTTTTGTTGTCTCTGACAATATAATAGATGGCCTTGACAGTGCTCTCATGGTAGGGACACTGCTTTAATTCCTATGTTTGGCACTTAATCAGAGCTCAAAAAAAAAAAAAAAAACGGTTGAAAAACTGTTTCATTAAAGAAATCTTATTCATGCCTAGATATTTTAATTAACCACAAATGCAACAGAAGATAGAGATATAAATAAATTGAAGATGAACAAATTTTATTATATTAATAAATTATTTGTTTAATTAATAAATTTTAAAGTATTATTTATAATCGTTTATCAAATTAATAATTGAATAAAAATATAACATGTTCATTAATTGTTTATCGAATATTATATTTGTTTATATTTCTAGACGTAAACGAATTAAATATAAATAAAATTTGTTAAGTTTGTAATATGGCTTTGCTCTCTAAATATTTAATTCAGTAATTAATATATGATCTTTGGTTAATCGAATTTGATTTTTTTTCTCTAGATAAAAAAATAATATATATCCTTGTTAATTTTATAACTTGTTTCCTTAAAATCTCAACTATAATTTCGAAATTCTCCATACAAAAGAAACAATGTAAGACATTTCACGTGATAAAGAGTATCAATGAAAAAGGGAAAGCTGGCAAAAAGTGAAGCCTAGTTAATGAGTTTGCATGTGTAATGTTTGTTTGCTGCCTGTTACCACCAAACCCAATGTGCAATCATAAATCTATGAAGATTGAAGATTGAAAAGACCCATAGGATGTTTAAATGTTATTCATATAAATTCTGCATAATAACAGGTGTCCATTGAAGAAGTATCTGCATATATATATATATATATATATATATATATATGCTCTTAAAGTGGTCGCTGCAACCACTTTCTACATAAATCTCTACTGCAATTAACTGCATATTTATAATTATAATTAAGTTGGGGTATTAAAAATGTTTACCAGACATTGCAGTTGATTGTATACAGCTTAGGATTTACCGTCTAGCGTTTCTTTATTTTTTTTTAATTGTTGTACGTAGCGAGTAACATTGAGTTCTTTGATGTAGCAGATTTTATTTTTTGTAATTAAAATTTCATTTATAAAAAAATTTGATATTATCTTCGAAACGTGTCCAAGTTCTCTCTTCCCTATGTCTACTCTGAAAATAATTTGCTGCCCTGCAGTTGGAAATTGTCTCTTCATGTGGGAAAAAAAAAAGGTCGAAGCAAATTAAAGCAGGAAAAAGAAATGGGATATTGGCATGATATTTTTTTGTCTCAGGTTGTAGCCCAAATGCAAGAACCACCTGGATATTTGCTTTTATGTTTGGACTTAGGGGTTTTGGGCCATAGCCTGAATGTATGTAGCATTTTTTTTTTTCATAGCAACTTAAAAACTCAATCAATTTAATACTATTTTTAACTTTAAAGAAATATTAACATTTCAAGTTTATATATTAATCAATTAATCATCATATTTTTAACATAACTTATTTAATTAACTTGTTATATATTTCATGGTCTTGAAACTATTTAAATAACAAGCATGCTTTTGTTT